TTCAATTGAATATGAGACTTTTGGAGATGAATCTTCAATTTGATCTCCGCCGGTCTTGAATTTAAATTTAAATAACGTTTCTTCGAGGGCTTGACAGCTTGATCTCGAATCAAACGCCGTGATTTCTCAAGAACGTGAAGAGCACGAGTCTTTGGTCTTCGCCGCAAAGTTGATTTTGATCTTCTTTACGTCGGTCTTGACTTCAATAACGTAATTCGGAGACTTGACAGCTTGATTCCGGATTGAACGCTGGTTTTGGGCTTGAATGCGTTTGAATCTTCCTTCGGGTCCTCAAGAACGCCTTTGAATCTTCAAAACACTTTGACTTTAATAACGCAATTCAGAGGCTTGGCAGCTTGTTTCCGGATTGAACGTCGGTTTTGGGCTTGAACGTGCTTGAATCTTCAAGAACGCCTTTCGAACACTTGAATCTTGTGGAGAGAATTCTCTAGAGCTCTTGAACTTGAAATTTGAAAATGAATTGTGTTTTTTCACCTTAGGGAGGGTCCCTATTTATAGGTGTTGGGAGAGAGAGTCTTGGAAAAGAAGACTTCAATTTGATTGGTCCATAATTTCCAATATTTATCTCTTAATAATTATTAAAGAGATAATTAGGAGAGAGAGTCTTTGAAAAGAAGACTTCAATTTGATTGGTCCATGAATTTCCACTCATTTATCTCTTTAATAATTATTAAAAGAAATAATTATTTATTTTACTCTCCAAGAAAATGACATGTGGCATTCTTTAATTGGCCTTCAAAATATACATGTGGCATTCTTTAATTGGCCAACAATATATCTTAAATAATCAATTAATTAACTATTTTAATTTAGGAATTAAAATTTGATTAATTTTCCAAATAAAATAAAAAATTATTAAATTGATTTTGACATGGATTTGACACTTGTCGTCATTTTATTGGCTCAAAATTTAATTTCCTACAGGCTTTTCCCCACTTTGGTGCGCTTCATGTTAGTGGGTCCGCACCCGTTTTTCCCCCAGTTTCTTACATGGTATCAGAGTTGGTTCTATTGGGACCGTCCCCCAGTTTCTTACATGGTGTCAAGTCGGTTCTATTGGGACCGTGCGATGACGTACCCGTTTATTAGAGTCTGCTTCTAGTGGGTTCTATTGGGACCGTGCGAAGAATATCACTTTCATACTGGAAAATAGACCCACCTTATAAGTCTAATAAGTTACTCCTCCTTCCACCAAAACCATAGACCCACCTTATAAGTCTAATAAGTTACTCCTCCTTCCACCAATTGGTTTTGGGATGGAACCCCACTTGAACTTTATATGTGCTTTCCCCACTTTGGTGCGCTTCATGTTAGTGAGACCGCACTCGTTTTACCCCACTTTCTTACAAGGTTAACAATTGATTTTCGATTTGACATATCCATCAACGTATGAGAGAAAATGTATGAGGTCTTTCAATGAGGGAATTGATTTATAAATCAAAATGAATCATGTGAAATGAAGAGCCACTAATGGACCCATATTTGCCGTTTGAACTTCAAAGGAGATTTCAAGGTTGGTTACATCAGCCCAATCTATTGTTCAACTACGCTTAAAAGCCCATATTACACCAAACTAATGATGAATATTTATAATAAATTATTGAAATTTGAAAAAAAAAAAAAAAAAAGTTATATTTATTTTTGAGTTCATGAGAATATACTTTAGTAAATGAGTGCTGTACCGCCGTACCAGTTCATTAACAAAATAAAAGAGAATACAAAAAGTTAGAATTACAAGAACTTGGTTCCATGCCTGCTTAGATTTTACGCCATACCACAAACAAGCGTGACACTGATGCTGAAAAATGATTTATATTTTCTTAAAAAGTTGAAACAAAACGTTAATAAATTGTGTTATTTTTATATCTTACCCAAATTTTTTGACATTAGTTTATTTGTTATATGTTTGCTTTTACGCAACCTCAAACATGGCTTGGTAAAGAGAAGTAATGATCACATACATATGCCCACCGTTTATGTGACATGCATATATTGGTGACGTATTTTTTTTAACATATTAACATCATCAATGTATGCATGCCACATAACTGATGGGGCATATTAACATGTGCCCACCACAGGTAGGTGAGGATTATCCCGGTAGAGTAGGAAAACAAAAACAAGAAAGGCAAGAAACGTGGTAGAACTAAAATAAGATGCATCATTGACAAATCAATCTCTTGTCAATTCATTTTTCAACTATCATATCAAAAGGCATTAAGGCATACATTACATATCCATGGAACACACTGTATAATCCATATGCACAAACTACATAATATTTGCATAAAGACAACCCAAATCAAAATGATAAAAGAGATTTATATATATTGCTCGCCAAAAACCCTACATCGCAAAGACAAGTTTACGAGACCAAAATACGATGCAAATCATCATCAATTACATTATCAAAGTTTAAGTATATCATAAATTTTATTCCAGAATCACTACTTGTATGCTGCCATGCCGACTCCAATTTCCCCTCCATGGGGCCCAAAACCTCCACGAGCCTTGGAATAACTGACGTAATAGAACTCGGATAATATCCCAGTAAACAAAACAAAGGCTGCCCCTGCTGCAAAAACTCCCTTCCTCACGGTCTCACAAGATGGCGGTTTATCGAAAAACCTTGATCTGTACTTGGTGTGGTAAGCATTCCTCACAGAGCCAGCCAGCAAGCAAATCTCGGCTATTAAAAATGTTACCCTGCAATTAATTTAAGTTCGATCAGAAGCTACAAATAAGCCGGGGAACGGCGCACTAAGCTTAAGGCTTCTACTGCTTTTCTCTTGCCGATTTTCCTCACAAAATTTGCATTCTTTTATTAGTCAATGAGATTAGTCTAATAAATAAAATATCTGGCTATTTTCCAGAGGTAAATAATCGCCTTTACAGAGAGTCGTATTGACTGAGAAATTACAAATGTTAATAGGAAATGAAACATCTTAAAGGTTATTTATAATTTATTAGGTTAAACCTCGGGGAAAACCTTTTTTTGCAATTAATTCCTTTCTATGACAGTAATGCTTTGAATGGGAGGCATACCAGCACATTATGAAGAGAAGCACCGCGCAAGCCCTTGAGCCTCCGGGTTTCAATGGGTTCCCACAACAAAAGCATCTACTAGCAACCATTATAAGTATTTGACTGGCCATGAGGAACAAAAATGCACCGACACCATACCCAGTGGCAATATCAGAGTCATAAACACAAAAGTTGTAATACTTCTCACTGTCTTCCCTTGTTGTTCCCTGTCGATAATCGACAGAACTAGCTATTTAAGTAATAAAACCAGACATGAGCTATGCAAGAATACTCATGAGGTATCAAACAGAGGTTAACTGAATCTAAATATGCACATTCCAATTTGAAAATTCAAACGAGCTCTTGAGTCTTGGACGCTTCACCTATAACCAACAGGTCATGGGTTCGAGTCACCGAGGAGGGGAAGTGTAAACACTATTGATCCTTTAAAAAGAATCAGTCTCAGATTTTAGCTACCACTATTGTTTTGTTAAGTCATTTACTGGATTGATGCATGCCTGTAATCAGCCCATAACGCAAGGCAAATGAAAATCTAGTTTCATTGTTAGATGCACTATGGCATATACCAAATGTTGCATTTGTCGGATATAAGGTGTTCATGTATAAGAGCCATTATCGACAAAAATCTCGATTTGGGATATAAATGCGGAGAGAAAAGCCACCCATCAACCAGAAAGATAGCACTTTAGAGCAAATTACACCCCCACATTGCCAAGAACAAGCAAAAACATTTCTTTAAAATAAAATTTCAAAATAACTAAAACTTGTACAAGAGGAATATGTTTATATTTTTAGCTTATAAGATACTGATACAACCAACAATTACTGCACGGTATTTCAATTTTTTTACTTCCAATTTATACTGTTTGCTTGTAGGATACTCTGCTGCAGCCCAGGTAAACACTAGATCCAAGGTAATTGAATTGGAGATGACTAATGGAATACTCAAAGAGCTAAAATATGAACATAGAACAAGATCAACATTAGATTTCAATTTCTCAAGATACACAATCTCACCAAGCTCCGAAACTATGTCATAATAAAGAACCACAACTCCAAGAATCATAACACAAACAGAAAGAGAGGCAAGCAACAACAACTCATTCATGGATCTCAAGGAATAAACGCTTCAACAAATAAGGACACTGACCGTGCTTCTTCTCTGCTCAGCAGCAACCGCCAAACCAAATGCAATGAGATCGAAAATGAAGACGATGATAAGCAAGAGCTTGGACGCCATTGGAGTAGATAAACAAAGAAGTAGCAGCAGATCTAGCTTTGCTTTCCTATCCGAGTTTCTCTCTCTACAAATAGCTGAGAAGCTACGAGAGATTGAGAGAGAGAGAGAGAGAGTAATGGAGATTGTGAGAAGAGAGAGTTAATGACAGCACAACGCTTCACCTGCCAAAATAAAGGTAGATACCACCAAATTGGATTTATTTTACTGTCTAAAGAAATAAATTAATTTATAAATTCAAACTATAACCAGGCTTTGATATTAACACCCCACCTAAGGCTATTGGCCCACACCCTTCTTGTAGAGGGCACAAGTAGAACCGACGGTCTTGAATATTATTAAATCCTTACTAAATGTATTAAAATAATGTCTCAACTCTCAAGTGCATTGTTTTTTCTTTTTTTATTTAATAAAATAATTCATCTTAAATAATGGATGTTGATATACACCGCACCCTATTAATACCGCACCCTCAAATAACTATTTTACCCTTACTAAAAATTAATAATAAAAAATTCAATTTATAATTAATTTTTTTTAATTAAAAAAAATCGAAAATAACATAAAACACTTTCAAAATAACATAAGAAAAAAATTTCATTGGCTAAAAAAAATCTTGAAAAAAAAAACACTAAAAATTCGAAAAAATTTCGAAACAAATCTAAAAAAATCCGAAAAAATGGCGGGACAATTCTCAGGCACCGGGAAAGGAGTATCCAATTCAAAGGTACTTTTTTTTTTACAATTTGAACGAATTAAAAAAAAATAAAAAAATTTCTGTGGCCAGTCGTCTCCCAATTACACTCGTGGTGGAGCCGGGCAGCCGGCCTTTGCTGCGATATATGGTACGGCCGCGCGCGGCCATCCAGTGAGCGGCCGCTATTGGCGCGCGGCAATTCCAGTGACGACCGCGCGCAGCCGCTTGCGGCTGCTCGTGCCATACAGTGCCGCGCGCGGCCGTATATATTTTTTTTTAGTACTAAAAATAATATTTTTAATTAAAATTACAATTGTATTTAGTATAAGTATTGTAAATTAACATAATAATATATAAAATAATATTTTATATATACTAATATAATTTTATAATGAATAAAAATTATTTATACTAATATATAAAAAAAAATCTATAAAAATTCTATTAGTAATTAATATAATGAATAAAAATTATTTATACTAATATAGTAGGTACTATAATTATAAGTACAATTATACTAAATATTAAGTACTATATTAGTATATATACTAATATATTAGTATATAAAAAATTAAATTAGTATTTAGTATATATTATAAATTAAAAGTATAATTTATTCATCACATTTAGTATATTAGTAAAATTTATTTAGTATATATTATAAATTAATAGTATAATTTATTCATCACATTTAGTATATTAGTACAATTTATTCATCACATTTTTCCTTCCCTTTATTTGTTTTATTCCATTGTTCATCACATTTTTTTCCTTCACATTTAGTATATATTATAAATTAATAGTATAAAATTACATTAATTGTTATAGGAAAAAATATATTAGTATAAATTATTAAGTTATATATATTAATTAATTATCTTATAAAATAAAATTTATTGATATTACGTTAGAAGTTAGAATTGATTATATAATAAATTACAAATTATTATTATTATTTTGAGATAAGTTATAATTCATTATTTTTGTAAAATTATTAACATACATCGTAACATATTGCAGGTGCCACTCGAAGATTTTGGAGGAGACGGTGAAGATTACCGAGCTTGTTTCGCTACAGATGAGTTATTTGATAATCCCGACAAAGATATTGAATGGGCAAAAGACATTCCAAT